CGGTTTACATATATGCCTTTGTATGTGTATATGTATAAAATTCCTGTGGTGCTCGTACTTGCCTTACTCAAATATTGTAGTGCGCACTATGTTTCTTTCTATTGCACCGTTGCACAGCCACTTGATCGCTTTCTCAAGTGATCAACACTTTGTACACTGTACAGTACATCTTACACTTGGATATCAGCAAAAGGTTTTACGTTGTCAGTCTTAATTGTATCTGCGGATTTCATATATGCAATTGTAAACAAATCTGCTATACACAGTATACCTTCCCCTTGACTGCGGCGTGATGTATAGTTTTGTTGGCTTTGCTTAAATAAACTTAATAAATTATACATCACAGTTGGAAAAACTCTACACTGAATGAGTCTGTTATCTATATATAAATATAAAATCATAACATTTCTGCTGTATTCGGCATATTAGTTGGTGTCATTCTAATATTCATTTACGTATACTGAATCAATCGGTCTTCTCTGCGAGAAAGATTAAAGTTATACTGTTAATACTCAGACCAGGGCTCTCGAATACACCCCGGGGCAACAATTTAGAATGGTCTATCAGGAGATCCTCATTAAATGGTCACGGTTGCACTCAAAGTCAGGCTTCATCCATGATCCTTGATAGTATAAAATGAACCATCACTCGGTAGGTATTCCTGTATCAATCCCACAAGTTGTGCGTAGTGATTACTATTTATATTTATATGTATATGTTACGTATATGCATATGTATATGTATACGTATATATATATTTATATATATATATATGTGTGTGTGTGTGTATGGATGTATGTATGTATGTATGTATATATATATATATATATATATATTGTGAGTAACTTATTCAGTTCACGAACGGTTTAGAGTGATTTAGCGTTTGTACTTTATATGATCACAGTGTGTATTAGCTTACAGGGTTGCGAGGACTGATCACGTCACAACCTAAACTTATAAAGTCTTAACCTAGACATTGCCTGCCGCAGCCCCTCTGGTTACTGACACAACATCTTGTTCCTGCATGCCCGGACTCATCTGTAGGCCGCCACTTATTACTATATTCTACACTACTTTATACACCAGGCTACTATACAGTGTTATGCTCTTCCTCTATAGGCCTACTCATACCAAATCAGCTGTATACATAAACCAATATTATAAGACATACAACACTGTTCCATCACCCTAAAACTACCCCTCATACACCCGAGTCATCCAGCATGACTCATTACTGCACATGAGCCATCAAACATGACTCACTACTACACGCGGACCACACACATAATACAACCCCCCACTATGACCACAACTCTATGTCTTAGGGTGGTCATATTCTCAGTCAGTGTGTCCACATGCCGGATAGATGTGCATCCACGGGGACGTGGTGCCGCACTCTCCCTCTGACCGAAGCCAAATGAAGTCTCAGCCTACACGTTGCTACTTATGCTGTTCTACTACCTACGCCGCACGCCACACAACTATCGCCTCGGAATCTCGATACCTTCCAACGTCAATGGAAGCATACCCCACCTGCGAAACATATAACTGCAAAACGTCGCATCCCTCGCAAACTTCAAGCAAACAATGACCTGCGACCGAAACAACCTCCGCGACTGTTCAATGGGAAAATACTTCACGAGAATCTCCTCATGATCCTCATGCAATGGAGCCTGGTGAAACGGACCCGATGCAAACGGCAAGTCCGTGGCCGTCTGCGCTTCAACACAAAAGCTTTCCCATCTGCCCCACACCGAACTCTTCGCGTCCGCTCATCGACAAGCCTACGCCGTGCGCCTCAAGCGGTGACCAATCTCCTGCCGATACTCATATGACATCTCCTTCATCGGAGACCTACACAACAACCATGGCTCAAACTCCCCATGCGGCCGGTAACTAACAGCTTTCTGCTTTTTCGGTGGCGACATATCCATCCCTTGAACATGCGCCTTGAGTTTATCTATCATATATGAGAGAACAACGGCGCTACCTCTACATTGTATTTCAAGTGCGGTAGAACCTCAGCAGTCTTTGCTGGGCTATCATATCTGCAGCCAAAGCATGATCTACATCTCGAATTTTATAACGAACCCAATCACCCACAACAAAAGCTGGCACGTCCACACGCTGTAAATCAGCCGCTCTACGCTGAGACTCCTGCGCCTGCCGATCACGCTGCACTGCCACAGCATCACGCACCACGGCTTCTGTGCCACTCTCTGTCAACAACATCTCAAGCACACACTCCTGCAGCTGGTCCCGCTGAGTATGCAGATATGTACACCCAGTCATGTGAAAATACGGCGAAAATCCCGTAACCGAGTTCACCGACGCAACATATATGTCTGTGTCTGTGTCTTTGTCTGTGTTTGTGTGTGTTTATGTATGTATATATATATATGTATATATATATATATATATATATATACATATATATATGTGTATGTGCGTGTTTGTGTGTGTTTGTGTATGTTATATATATATATATATATATATACATCCATATATATATATATATATACATCCATATATATATATATATAAATGTATATATATATATATAGTTATGCGTGTGTGCGTATGTATGTATGTATGCATGTGTATACGTATATATGTACGTTCCAAAAAATAGTGCCAATTTCATACGAGCATATTATCCGTTAGATCGTATTTTTAATTGTTTTGGTTACTTTTCTTGTTCTTGTTACTTTTGATCGACTGCGGTCGCATGATCAGATGCGGACTTCCATATCCATGTCGATTATTGTTTGTCTGTACGAATTGCGGTGGCGGCTAGTGAAGTATATATCTGTATATATTTATGTCTATGGCCGGAACAAATGCCTTTGCACTTTCAGTTGTATCAGTGCAGTCTGTCTGACCAACAACATCTAAACTGTTAAATATACATGCTGTCCCAACACGCCTCTCAGTTAAAGCGCTCAAGGTCAGAGTAACAAATTATCTACTCAAGTATCCATTTGGGCGTCTACTTATATCGCTTATATACTTTTATGAGCAAGTCATTCGCATTCGAGTTCCCAGTATTACTGACTCTCTGCATCATGTGTATACAGCCAGACGTTTATGGCGATTAATTCTCTGCCAAGCGTACGTATATCTGGTGATATCCAAGACATCGCTGCGAGAGCTACCATCCACAAGGTTCTATGCCGGGTGGTTTCACAGCATTCAGCTGTCAGGTCAAATCGATGCACACCGTGGCCCCCCTAACTTCAGTAGTATCCATAGCATAATAAACGCCCTCTAATGTCGCAGATTCATTCACTCCGCTCGTCCCGCACTCTACCGTCTGCGTCCGAGATTGTGAATCGTTGACGTTCAAAACACTGTTAGAAATCTTAGCATCCTTATCGCCACTACCTGACTTGCTTCTCACGAACAAAGTCGCACTATAGTCGCTAGCACAAGACGTTAACGCCACACGGTTGTTGTGACCAGTCGTGCTGCGCAGCTGCCTACCCCGCTGTACGGCTCCACCACAACTCGTCGTACGCAACAAACGCTTTCCAATGGCCGCTTTCCGTCTTGATACGAAGCCTGCTGTATACTTACTCCCATTCGCACTGCTTGGCATGCTCGCGGACTCAGAAGAGTCCGAAGACTTCTGCAAGCCGCCAGCGTTGCTACTATGTTCATACGTGTGCGGGATGGTCCGATTGGTATGCGGAGATGGGTCACTCCCGCAATCCATTCGAGAACCGATGGGTCTATGTACTACAGCTTTCTGGTGATTGAAATTAGCTGCGACATATCTGAAGTAGTCTTCCTCTGCAGTCTTACGGATCCTTCTGAGTGAACCCCAGACATCGTGGATAGTTATCTTGGCGTCGGGGTCGACCACGCACGGGTACAGGACGCGCGGGTTGACTCGTCGAATAAATGCCTCGATTTCGGAGACCGAAGAATGCTGCTGATAAGGCACCAGATGCCAACCCTTCCCACACGGTCTGCAACAGGCCAGTTGATTTGGTGGGATTTCAGAGGATAGATATAAATATATGGAAGCGAATGAACACAGCAGAAGGTAGCAAAGAATGGTCGATCTTGCGCAGACTCACTCATCGCTTTTATACATTTTGCATGCCTGTGCAAGTTGCGTGGAGGCTGGCAAACGAACTTCTATGAACTACATAACGTAGCACGTAAAGGTAGCCTGCTTACCCCACGCAGCCACTCTTTCAAATGCCACCCTCAATGTACTATCAGTAAACCACCCACATACCCACACATCATCCTGCATATCTACTTTGTTCATACCTCTGAACATCTATTGGAGGCCGATAATCTAACTTTTGTATGTCGGGATCCCACATACGCGTGCCGGGATACCTACATCCATTTATGCTCAGGAATAAATGCCGTCTAGGTGTGTTCAGAAACTGCTTGCAACACGGCAATGGCAGTCCGTGCGAATTGTAGTAGTCTGGTTTTTGACCATCCAGTATATCGTGGTGTGCGTGTATTCGTGCTTTGGAGGGGTCGTTCGTAAACACATGGGCGAGGGCCGGATCACCCGCGAAGATTCTGAGCCAACATTCGTTCACATGCACCTTCTGCAGCACACAGTATAGGGGATTGGTATAAGGACGAAGTGAGCATGTGAGCAACAGAACCAACCAGAACATGTACAGGTGCATAGAACCAACCAGAACATGTACAGGTGCATAGGACCAACCAGAACATGTACAGATGCATAGGACCAACCAGAACATGCGCAGGTGCATAGGACCTACCAGAATATGTGCAGGTGCATAGGACCAACCAGAACATGTACAGGTGCATAGGACCACCCAGAACATGAACATATGCATAGTTTCTACATCGGACGGATGTCTGTTGCGAAATTTTAGGACCGCAACGTATGCGACTAACGCGCATGAACCTGAAATTGGGGCACTCGAAATACACTGGCGACGTCAGAACTCGACATCGCACATTTGCAGGATACACAAACGTGCAGTTCGGATTGCAGGCCATAGTCATCCACCCTCGTGCATTAATAGTAAGTATGAACGAGGAAAGGTCTTGGCATTTTACGAAACGTGCGCAACTGCTAAGCCAGACTGCAGCATAGCAAAATGGGATCCATGTTTAGTCGTAGAAACACTGTAGATGGTGATCCTGCGCTCCAGAGTATCATACACGTACATGAATTCATGCTTCAAGAGGCGTTCAATATCTTACCGTTTGAAATCGCTCGGCCATGGCCTTGAACAGCCGCTCAAACCCCACCATCTGCTTGCACTTGATGAACACACCGTCTGAAGCAGGCACTTGCGCAACCAGATCCAACACATGCCGCACGACGGCCGTCTGCAGGTACAGAGGGCGCGTATATCAATAAACAATAGAAGATATAGCTCAACAAAGATCGCTTCCTTCCTGGAAGTAGGATTCAATGATGATCATAATGATACTCTTACTGGAAGTATGATTCAATGATGATGATAATCATACTCTTACTGGAAGTAGGATTCAAAGATGATGATATTCATACTCTTACTGGAAGTAGGATTCAATGATGATGTTAATCATACTCTTACTGGGAGTAGGATTCAATGATGATGATAATGATACTCTTACTGGAAGTAGGATTCAATGATGATCATAATGATACTCTTACTGGAAGTAGGATTCAATGATGATGATAATCATACTCTTACTGGAAGTAGGATTCAATGATGATGATAATGATACTCTTGCTGGAAGTAGGATTCAATGATGATGATAATGATACTCTTACTGGAAGTAGGATTCAATGATGATGATAATCATACTCTTACTGGAATTAGGATTCAATGATAATGATAATGATTCGGAGGAGACTGGGGTCGACAGCTCGTTTATCAAGAAGGCAGACAACTGCCCGAATATACGGTTGAAATAGAATATAAATGGAGGGCACGGTTGAAATAAAATATAAATGGAGGGCATGTTACTGTCATCAGTATGTAGAGAAGAATCATGGACATGCCGAAGATGACCTTGTGGGCGTAGTTGCAACAGCCGTGCATGATTTAGACAGATACTGCAGATGGGTGCGGGCATGCAAGTAAAATACAGTTCATGAACTAGTTTTCGCCGCATAGGTCAGCTCCAGACGCAAATTAAAAATATTTTCAAATGATAATTATGTCCCTAAAATAGTATAAACAAAACATCCGAGTTCGGCAGGTGCTAAACCGTCCATACCCTGTGCGGTATGTACCAGGTAGGCCTGCCTGACGAACAGTGGGAGGTGTCGATGTACATGCAGTCTATCCGTTTGTCCACGTCCACCAAGGCGGGGGTTTCCATGACAACCACTTCCAGGGCAGAGGCCTCCAATCGAAAATCGCCAGTGTACAAGACGCGCCTGAGTATATATGAGAAGCGAGCATATACACGCCCAATAACAATATCAGAAAACAACCAGTCATGAAATACTTCCAGATAGGTATTGAATACTCATCTGCAGCTTGAAGTAGCGTGAAGGGAATATTAAAACCTTCAAATATGTCCGGATGGTCACCAATTTTGGATATCAGCCCCAAACACAAATACATAGGCTGTAGATGTTGCCTCTGGATGTAGACCGCATTCACATATAGCGCATTGCGGCCAAAGAATATTTACATATGTCAACCAAGCAGACCCAAAATCCAACTATGAGATTCCGGCAAGAAGCATCGACATACGTCTACCAAGGCAACCCACAACCCTAACTATGAAGTCAATAGCAATGCACATGGGATGGAAAGCGGCTACACGGGACTGGCATACGAACATACTACTCGGACAACTCATGCAGAATATAGCTGCATGGGGATCACCATAGAAATAATAGGCCGAATAATACATACGTACTATAATGCGATCGATTCAGTCTTAGAGTTCATATCAGGTCGCCTGCAACTCGCATTATGACGTGGTCAGCTACACAGAGTAGACGGATGATCATACTCTTATGATATCACCATATGACTGGTTGTCTCGTAGCATGATTTTTCTAAATCTACAGTCGCTCGTATGGTAAAGCAACCCACATACCACAATGTCAAACTTTTACAAAGTACTATGTCAGGGAGTAGTAACCATACACGTGTGTAACAAGCAACAGCGCAAATAAAATAAAAAACGCACAACTCCTAAACCAATGCACTCAGTACAACTTGCCTGTGCGCGCTATCGAACAGAAACATGCACGATCCTGGGCAGTGGTTTGCGTTCAGGGCTGTTACGTATATATCGTCTTGCACTCCCTCCACCTTTGTGGGGACACCCATCTCTAACGTCCGCAGATATGGCTCCAAATGCTTGTACCGGCCCTCGTATCCCAATTGAGTGGTTTGGTGTCGAGGTTTGTTCTGACTGCGCGAATGCGTTTAGTTAAAAGTAAAATGTAGTGATAGGTTAACATGTAATGACAAAACCATAGATTTGTTAAACGTTAGAAATGCAATATGAGATGATCCAACCGGCTCACTGAGGATATACGCATCTGTGCGGTGGAGTGTTTTTCCTACTGACCTCGGATTGTCAAGCGAGAAATGAAAGTGTTGTCAATAATTATATAATAGTATGTCGCCTACTGAGGCCTAGTCACGATACAGCGCACACAAACTACATACTCAGCAGCGAGAAATGTACTGGCATCTCTCCTATCAACTGGGTCAGGAAAATTGAGAAGAATGCGCTTCGACATCTCCGATACATAGATTATGTTGAAGTTGACGTTCCGACTATCCAGTCCATACATGTGGTCCAGATGGCAGTGCGAAAGAAACAGAGCAGCCGAAACCTGTGAGGTATAAAAACGCGATCATCTGTTAGTCTCAAGCGCAGTTAACTGGCGAGCAGTAGATGGGTAGATGAAAGCTGGCGAGGTTTGGGAGGCTATATCCAAGAACTAGTCCAGTCAGCAGGATAGAATAGGTGCTGAGAGATTATAGAGTGCACTAATATCATCATTGCCTTCAACCACGTTCGATCCAGTTCTAAATTTCGCCTAGGATGTGCTACACATTTCAATGTACTTTATAGTAGAGTATGCTACGTTGAATGTGTTAAGGCGGGTTGTACTGCCAGTGGCATCGCTTTACAGCTGAAACTCAAGACTAGCAGCTTGAACAACCAATCTTACACCTGATCAGGGTGTATAACCATCATACTTATATACACCATGACACTTTATCAGATACAGACATAGACACAGTACCATGTAGTATGTATTCTTCCGTACATACCGATGATGGCACTGACTCGGGAACCGATCCATAGTCGGAGGCTTCCAAATACGACGCCTTGAACTTGTCAACTATGATCTGAGTGCCAAACTCGTTTATGTAACCCTCGAAGGTACTCATTGTGATTATTATTTTGGTGTCGAACAGCTTCTATATGTCATATATAGAGGCAGAGCGAGTGGTCAGATGAGATGTGTAACTGGACATAGCCATTCACAGCTTGTAGAGTGATAGTCTACTATTGTGAATATTACTGGTGCAAAACAATATCACCACCCTCAAAGCTCCACACGTTAATAAAATAACACGGACGCAGAATATAGATATAGTCTCTCTAAGGATGGACTTGAACTCACATCCATGTGATAACAATGAAGCAGGCTATTTGCGTAGAGAAATGTGTTCTTTGTTTAGGAGGTTATGGAAATGTTCATGTAAACAAATTCGACAATAAAATATGTGTAGATCGACAAGAAACGGACCTGTCGGCTGTCGCCTCGACGGCTATGAATATCGTCACTAAATCGAGATGCCGCCAAAACCGGCGAAATATGCTATAAAAAAACACGCGCCAATCATCTCTAAATAGATCTATTCAGCAAAGGCATATGATATGTATTCAAGTACATCCTGTACCCCCAACATTTTTTTTATAAATAAAAAGTATTTGACACTCGCGAAACCTGAGGTCGGAACTCGGACCGTCTGATGAGCAGTCCTGACACCCATAAATATATATTTTTAAATACATACCATCTCTACAAAGTCCTTTCCTATTACAACAATACATAGCGGAAGTGAAGGACGTAGGCCCCTGGCGACACATATAGCACAATGACTGATCGAACGATATCTGACAAGCCCGCCCCGGGGGCTCGGGAAGTTGATCTGAACACACTACCAGTTCAGGCTTTGGCCAACCTGAAAGAGCAGACAGAAGAGGAGATTCAATACTTAGCACAATCAAAGTCACAACTAGAACTTGCCGCTAAAAAATTCGTTGTTGCGAAACGTAAGTTGACATTCTGTATTTGTATTTATCCTCGTATTGCAATCGGTTTGCATGGTCTTTTGAACCTATCAATGGTGTGGGGCTCAGGCGAGGAACGTATATATTCTTACGAAGTCTAAATATACGTATATATATATATACATATACACATATATATATATATATATGTGTGTGTGTGTGTGTGTGTATATATATATGTGTGTGTGTGTATATATATATATATGTGTGTGTGTGTGTGTGTGTGTGTGTGTGTGT